AAACAAACAAACAGAAACCAAGTTCTGACAGTCTCCCAAAGTTGCTCCACGCAACTGAGCTAAGTTTAATGTTGTTTGTTTTTTAAATCCTGGAGTGTTAGGTCTCATCTTCTAAATTATCTACACTGAGAGTGTTGGTCCAGGCAACCAGGTCATCCACTTCCTTTTCCCAGGACTCTGAATCTATATCATCATCTCCAGCATATGAATCTGTAGAAACTTTATCTATGGTGAGAAAGATGAAAAGCAGAAATTTAATGCACATAGCAGGAAAAGCAACCTGAAGTGTTCCTGGATTTGTCACATAATGATGAAGGTCACCTGGAGTGAATACAAACAACTTGGCTCAACTTTTTAAATTTTGCATTTTAAAACAGACTTTGTGTCACAAATCATTCTTTCCTTTTTGCTCAATCTTTTTTTATTCTTTGCTAGTTCATTTATTGGACCTTTATTTACCGAGTCCCAATTGATTATAAAGGAAAACATCTTCAGAAGCACAACAGGGTAGGTGGGAATTTGTTATTATGTTCACAAAATAGGCCACGAAGAAGATACTCATCCTAATTGCCTTATATTTTGTATGCTTTCCACAGAATAGATTCTGGAAAGGCTGCATCTTATTGTTATTAATCTTGGAACAATTTAGTTAGTATAGATATTAAAACTCATGCTGATTGGGCTCTGGTTAATGCCAAGTGGTTTATTTCCATTCACTCTTGTTATCAGTTTGGGTTCAGTTAGGAAAACAGAGCCATCATGAGAGTCAGTGTTTAGTACAAGACTTCAGCATTATCCAGGTGCAAGAGGACCATGGGAGGGCTGATCTGGAAAATCTGAGAACTATAAGCAACTACTTTAGACTGACTCATGGGCTTCAGTGGGGAGAGGAGGCATTCAAGGAGTACAAGGAACTACATGCACACAGCTACCCAAGATAGGGCAACATGAGGAATTCCTGAAGACATCTGGGGAGCCATCAAGTCTGTGAAGATGGACTTTGTGAAAAGATAAATGAAATAGCTGTGATTGAGGAAGTCACCTTGCCCAATATGCATAACTTCCCAAGCATAATGTCCCCTTCTTCCCTCTGATCTCCTGAATCTTAGGAAAGTCTTCTCAATGGCAGACTATGACATGCTAAACCTCCCTGTAAAGGAACACAAAATTCATTCCTTCTCCAAGTCATATTTCCCTTTGATATTTTATACAAGCTCACTATTGCTATCTAATAAACAACCACAAAATTTTAGTGACATACAATGATAAGTATTCCTTTAGTTCACGCATCTGTAGGTCAGATGGGGTTGGCTTATTTGGCAGGGGAACGTCTGGCAAACTTGGTGGGGAAAGCTCGGCTCCACACCTCACGTCTTTCTCTGTGATCAGAGAGCTAGTCCACACATGCTATTGTGATGATGACAGCAAAAATGAAAGAGCAAGCCAAGTCCTACACACCATTTCCAAACCCTGGGTACAGCATGCTCACTAATATTCCATTTATCAAAACACGCTCTGAGGCAAAGCTTATTTTGTCAGGATAATATCCATTCCTGCTCCAGGAATGGATATTTCTGAATGATAATCCAGTTTAACACAACCTCTTGGGAATAGTCTTTTCCAGAGTAGATGCAAAGAATGGTCTGCCATTTGCAAAGAGGACAGGGCTCAGTACTGAAGATCTACTCAGTTTCTGTACATTCCTTAAATTGTTCTTCCATCCAGCTTACCTATCTTTTGCCCACACATTATGAGTTCATTCCATTTTTTCCAAAATCACAGGGCTGCTAAAATATGACAGCTGTATTTCTTTCTGTCATAATCAGTTCATTTGCTTTGGTCACTAAATAGCTACTCTATGACAGGTGCTGTGCCATGAAGACTGAGAGGAAAGCAGACCCTTTCCTCAAGGAGCCCACTACTCATCAAAGGAGACCAGCAGTAAAGAGACATAAAGGAAACAAAATATAGATTTTATAAGGCATTTTAACAGTGTGATTCTCAGAATTATTCAAAATTTATATTACTATGTAATTTACTATAAAATTGAATCATGTCATTTTAAATTAATGCCAGATCTGCTTTCTACTCTTGGGTTTTATTCAAAGGTATTCATTCCAATTTGGATAGTAAAAGGAGATAGCTTGATATCTTTGGGTAACTTCTTATTGTTACCTCCAGCACTGACATATTGAAACCAAAAGGCGAATTCAGAAGAACACACTTGGCTGAAAAATGAATCCATAAAATATCACGGGTTCCATGACAATGGTCACACACTCAGTGGGACCAAGCATCCTTCTGGATTTGGGTTCAGGGGTGAGTGAAATCATGATTTTGCATTTTTTGCATTTTCTCCTCATGTCTATTTCAAAAAGAGAGTGATTAGAAACAAAAGGATGAAAAGATTTAGGACTTAAGTAAGCAAGAGAAAGAACCTAAGTAGAGTTATAGGTTAACACCATAATTTCTGCACTCTTAGTTCATGATTTTTTTCCTCACCATTTATTATGCCAGGTCTGACTATTCTATGAGGGAAAAAGTGCTGTTCATTCATGTGTATGCTCACTTTCCCTTATTCCTTTGTGAATGCCTCTCCTCTTTCCTTCAATCTCTATATTGTATTTGAAGCACTATTAAAAGTACTTTTTCACAATAAAAAAAAGAGACAATGATAACAGCTTGTGTGGCAGACAGTCTCAAAGATGGCCCCATGGAATCCTTCTTTCTGGAGTACACCCTCTGTGAAATCCCCTCCCTTTAGGCGTGGTGGGACCTATGACTTGCTTCTAACCAATAAACTATGCAAAGATGATTAGATCTCACTCTCATGACTATGTTGCATTACATAAGATGCCATCTCAGTATCTGACTTTCCCTAAAGACTCTCCTTGCTGACTTCACAAAGTAGGAGGCCACGCTGGAAAAGCCCACATGGCAAGGAATGTTGGGTGCCCTTCTGGAGCTGAGAGAAGCCTCCAGCACACACTTAGCAAGACTCCAGGGCTCTCAGTCCTCAGACAGAAGAAAAGGAATTCTGTCAACAACTACACTGGATTTGAAGGCAGATTCTTCCCCATTTAAGTCACCATGGGAGAATGCAGACCTATTGACACTTTGCCACCTTCCAAGATCCTAAGCTAAAAATCAAGCTAAGCTCTGCCTGAATTCCAGGCACACAGAAACTGAAATACTGTATAATTGTTTTTAACTGTTAGTTGTGTGTTAATTTACCCAGCAGTTGAAAGTTAATACACTGTGAAATGTCCTTGATAGAAATTCTATGATAACCCACAGAGAAAGTTTCATAGAGATGGTAATACAGGTTGGGTGTGCCTTACTGGAAATGTCTGGGACCAAAAGTATTTCTGATTTCAGGATTTTTTTTATTTGTTTTGGAATATTTGCATATACATAAGGAGATACTTGGGGATGTGATTCAAGTCTAAATACAAAATTTTGTTTCATATAAAATTTATATACATAACCTATAGTTAATTTCATACCATATTTTAAATAATTCTACACATGAAACAAATTTTACTGCAAGAAATTTTCCATTTGTGGCATCATATTGGCCCTCAAAGAGTTTGGAATTTTGAAGCATTTCAGATTTTTGGATTTTCAGATCAGGGATGTTCAACTTGTACCTGAATGGAATCCCCAAGGATGCCTAGGTATTAGAAAATAAAGAAGGGGAAGAAGAGTGTTTGGAGTAGGGGTATAGGGAAACAATGTACTTTTCAAAAAGTTTTTAAATGATGCAGGGAAGAAAGAATGATGATCCACTGGCTCAGTGTGGCGTTTAGGGTGGGAGGGGAGAGTGGTAAGAGATGTTCCTCAAAAAGTAGGCACATATTAGGCGTCGGGGACTTTCCATGTCAAAAAGTATATTTTTTTTCCTGAAGGAAATGGGAAATAAAACAGTTTAGACCTGGTGAAAATATACGCAGATCTGAGCTGTAGGAACCAGTGTGACAAAGCATGGACAGATGTTATTGTTATCATTAATGTAACTAAATGATCTCTTCCATGGATGCCAATGGTGGGAATGTTGGGACAGACTGAAGAGGGGTAGAAAAGTCATGGAGGAGTGAGAGTAAGGCTGCAGAAACAGCATCTGGTCAGTCCTTGTAGGTCCCCTGAGGTCTAGATGAAGGACTATCTGGAGTCAGGGTGGTAATTTGTCCGAGGGTTTGAGTGGTATATGAGAGTGAGAGCTGTGAAGCAGGACTGCAAGAATCACTGAGCCTATTACAATAATAAAATAGTAAAAGGACACTATTGTACTTAACAGATAGGTGACAAGAAAAACGGTCACTAATACTTTCCAGTACTTCCCCGTTTACAAAGAATTTTGACACACACGGAGTCCTTTAGTCACAAGGGTCCTGTGAGATGGGGCAGGATATAGAAACTAATATTTACAGAAAATCTTTTCTGCGACCAGTATCAAATGAGGAGGAAGGAACTGCTCAGAAGTTAGGTAACCTTGACGTAATTACACAGAGCTGGGACCTAAATCCAAGTTTTCTGATCCCAAGGGTGATGGCTTTCCTTCCATACCAGCTGACTTTCGCTCTAGGTCACCAGCTCTCTCTATTGCGACTCAGGACTTGCCCCCAACCTATCTCCACAATTCTGGTAACTCAGCTAACATGGTTCCTTTCTTTTCAGTCATATTGCCTGTGGGTCCAAAGCTACAATGAGTTTTAGGGGTCAGTTAATGACGACTTTGTTCTGGCTGTTTCTTTACACTTTGAAACTTGCCTTATAGTTTCAAGCCTATTATAAAGGGTAGTAAGCTTGAACATATAAGTCATCCATGTGTGTGTGTTTGTGTGTGTGTGTGTGTGTGTGTGTGTGTGTGTGTGTGTGTGTGTGCTGGGGATTGAACCCAGGGCCTTGTGCATATGAGGCAAGCACTCTACCAACTGAGCTATATCCCCATCCCTGAGTTGAAGCAATCTTAGAGGAGAACACAAGAATTAGGCCCCCTGTATTCAAATGTATTTCAGCTGAAAAAATTTTAATTTATTATTATAGTATTTTAATTGTAAAAACAAAAAACAAATAGGCTGAATCCGATTTACCTGGAGTTGGCCAGAGAGGCTTTTCAATTGAATCATGGACTTGGTGAAGCATTTTGTTTTCTCTAGCAAGATGAGACTTGGTAGCAGCATACCTACAAAGGGAAAAGGAAAGAAAGAATCTGAATTCCCAAATGAATTTTGAGAAGTGTATATTACATCCGAGGACAAGAAATCTAACAAATTAGACAGAAAAGCAAAAAACAGACTTTGAGCATAGAACCATTCTGAGTGCTGATGAATAATAAAGTGAAATTATTTCAATATGTGGTTTCCAAAACAAATAGTAGTTAGGAAAATAAACAAACATGATATAAAATTGATATTGTAAAAGTAATGAAAACATCATGTGGTACAGCAAAGAATATTAGTTTCCTACAGCCACCACAATAAACTAACACAAACTTAGTGACTCAAAATATGGTTATTTCCCCCTTAAGATATATTCTATGTAGATATATTCTAAGACCCCCTGCATTGGGTCAGTGGGTGTCAGAAATCACAGGTGGTACCAAAGCCCATTATGTTTCTCCTATACATGCGTGCTTACACTTAATATCTTTTCTATCTTAACTAGTTATTACTTACTATGGTCATAACATCTGCAGTTTGAGGTACAAAAGAAAACCTGGGACAAATTTCTTTTTCCTTCTTTACAATTTCACAAATAGAAGATTTGGTTTTACTGTAAGATCTTAGCCTCAACATATGATCTTTTTGTCTTTCTAATTAAGTCCAGAACATTAGCTAGACACGATGGTGCATGCCTGTAATTTCAGGAACTAGGAAAGCTAAAACAGGAGGATCACAGGTTTGAAGCTAGCCTGTGCAACTTCATGATTTTTTCTCAAAATTAAAAGAAATTTTAAAAATTGGGGGTGAGGACTGGAGATGTAGTTCAATGGTAGAGTGCCCTTGGGTTAAATTCCTATGCCCAGTACAGGGCATGCGCATGTGCGCTCTCTCTCTCTCTCTCTCTCCACACACACACACACACACACACACACACACATATAAACACACACAAAGAAAAAAAAAAGAATTTTCAGTTTTCACTTAAAAGAATTTAGACATTAATTCTAGTTGTTCCCTTGTATTTCACATACCTTCTTTTCACATACATTTCTTTTTTTTTTCTTTTAAATCATTTTTATGGTTGTTTTTTTTTTTAGCTACTTGAGTATATTTTGTAAGATGCAGAATACCTGCCTTAGGGCCCATATCTACTAATTCCATCATCTTTATCACTTATGAATCTATGCCAATTGATTCTTTCTCTCTGGTCCTGAGTCACATTTTCCTGCTTATTTGCATGACATGATTTTTTATGCAGTGCTGGAAACAGCAAATTTTACATTGTTCAGTGCTGAATTTTTGTTATATTCCTATAAATATGTTTGTGCTCTGTTCTGGAATGCAATTTGGTATCTTTTGAATCCTTTTTGTTTTTGTTGTTGTTATTTGTTTGTTTTTTTATTTTTGGCACCTGGGAGTGAACACAGAGTACTTAACCACAGAGCCACATCCCCAGCCCTTTTTATTTTTTGAGACAGACAGAGTCTTGCTAAGCTGCTTAGGGCCTTGCTAAATTGCTGAGGCTGGCTTTGAACTTTTCTCCTGCCTCAGCCCCCAGGGTCACTAGGATTACAGCCATGCACACCCTGCTCTGAATCAGTTTAAAACCGTCACAGCTTACTTTTAAACTTTTTGTGGTTCAAAGATATCCTTTATCTGAGGGCTAATTTAGTTGGCCCCATGACCAAGACATGACCCTTCTGAAATCTATCCCATGTCCCTTAAATTATGAGGTCTCTAGCTAGCAGGAACACAAATAATTTTATAAGCATGCATTTTGTGAACCTTTCACTTAAAAAAAAATCCTTAGGATTTCAGTTTGTTTTGTTTTCCTCAGGGCAAACAGGGCTTTAGGAAACAGCCTAGCATGATTTATACCTTTTCCCCTCTACCAGTCAGCCTTTGTCTTCAGAATGATATAAATATTATTATCTCCTTTTTAAAAATTCACTCATTTGCCTTTATATAACTGAAAATACGTTTTGCACGCAAAAATATTTCATGTCACTAAAGAAATGCAGATTAATGCCTACAATGAAAAAAACCTTAGCCACTGGTTCATTTTTAAGTTCTTTCCTAAATTTGGGAGCACTGTGAATTGCAACTTGTTCTTGAAAAGCAGCTTTATGTGCACAGCAAGAGTCATAAAATTGATTGTATCCTTCCATTAATAGCCCAGCTTTTGTTAACATGTTCTAAGGGAACTTCTAGACGTCCTCATTTTACCTTTCTGGTAAAACACAATCTAGTAAGTCTCTGGGGAGTAGGTAGCTCCTTCCTCTCACCTCTGGGAGGATGACCTTGAGGGGAGCCAGGGAAGGCATCAAATTCCTCTGGTCCTAGGGGAGGGGGCTGAGGGAGCTTGAAAGATTAGGGAGAGGGAGGGAGACAGAGGGGGAAGAATAAAAGAGAAGATGGAAGGAGAAATGGAGGGAAGATAGGAAGGAAAGAAAGAAGCAGGGGGAGTCCCCTCAAAATGTGGGAGAGAATCAAAGAAGCAGTTTCTTAGGGAAAAAATGTTTCATATGCATTTTTACTTATATCAAAACTCTCTTTGAGGAGTAGAGAAGAAGGGAAGCAACCTTAAGCTACTATGTTTATAATATAAGAGGTTCCACCAAATTCTGTGCTCTAACCAGAAATCACAGCAGTTTGGGCTACATTCTGAGAGAAAATTTGATGAAATGAATTATTTCCATAAATGGGGACCAAAAAATATATAGATTTTATTTTTTTAAAAAGTGGAAAGAATTGGATTTGCTTATTCTGAAAAACAGAAAATTTAATGGGAGAAAAATATGATAACTATTTCCTAAGACTGAAAGGGCAATTACACAAACCAGAAATAGATTTATTTCTGTTGTTTCGAAGAATAGGTGGCATACTTTCTTTTCTTGTATAAAAGCATCCTTTCAATCATGCCTTATGTCCATCCCCAAAGCCATCGAAGGTCCTCAGTATCAGACATGGTGCCTGGCACACTTGGGGCAGCTCAATCTAATGGAAAAAGCAAGGAGTGTGGTATTGGGTTGGCAGGGTTAAATTTCAACTCTGTTACTAAGTGTGCAACCTTGTGGAATCTTATTTTTTTAACTTTTTATGATATGTTCTTCATAAAGTGAAGATAATTCTCATTTTCTGGACAATTTTGCAGACAATTGAGAATTTGGAATGGTTGATACCGTAAGGTGTCAAGTTGTAACCTAGAAGAAACAGTAGAGCTGTTTGAATGCTTGTTACTGAGCTCCCTGTATCTAAAAACATCCAAGCAGAGCCAAAGTAATTGCCTGGTAGAAATTATTTTTTAAAGGGATTTTTTTACCTTTGTCTTTATGTCTACATTCCACCCACATACCTGTATTTTAAAACATAGTGTTAGTTCCCTTTTTAGTCACAAGATGGCACTCAAGGTTTAATCTTTGGGGAATATAAAAATTGCATTAGATATAATTTTGTAAATCTATAAAAACAATGTTTAAATTCAGTACCCATAAAAGGATAACACATACATTAAATGAAAGTACTCAGCATGAATTTTTTCCATACACCAGGAGAAAAGGGAATCAAACTTAAGCATACTAAAAGAAAGATGACATGTTTTTGGAAGTTAAAACACATATTCATAAAATCAGACACTAAAGCAACTTAGAAATAGTATATGTTTTAGCTCCTTAATTTATAAAGACAACTACAACCAGAGTATATTTCATAAACATAAGAAAGTTTTATATTAGTATTTCATACAGCAGATGTTAATTGTTTTTCCATGAACAAAAAGGGAAGCAACATTGTTAGATAATAAACTGTGATGTTGACAAAAAGTAAAAAAAAAAAAAAAAAATTCCACAAAAGGCAGATTCTTATTTGTGCATGCATGCAGTTGAGTGGGCCATGATTTTACACTTACCTGAAAATTTTAAGCAAAAGTACATATTAGTAGGCAAGTAGGAAATATACTTGTTTTTTTATTTTTAAACAAAATTTGCATTTATCAATAACCTCCGGCAAGCTCTCGTTAATTTCTTTGTGCCTAAATTTTTTTCTGTTGGTAAACCATAAATAACATTCACTTCTAGTTTTACAGAATTTTCAAGAGGGAAGTGTCAGGAGTGGCAACTCTGTTGAAAAGGGGAGCGAGGAGCCTTCCTTGAAGCTGTCACCAGAGCCAAGTGGTGCAACTTGGAGTAGAGGTTAATTAGTTGTTTGGAGTAGAGGCTAATTAGTTGTGGCTCTGAAGGAAGCGAAGGCTATATCACTTAGAAGCCTGGCTGTCAAATCCACAGGGTGGCCAGCAGCACCTCAGGAATGAAGAGAGCCTGGCACAGTGATGGTACTTTCTCATGTTACTACTTCCTGTTCCCTCTACACCTCTGCTTATGGGCAAGAGCAATGTTCTTCTCTAAAGCTACACTGAATGTAAAACTCCACCAGAATTAGTAACTTTTCTTTAGAAAACTTGATGGCTGCCAAAACTTAGATGACTGATGCAGATTTTTCTGTTTTTACATAAGCAATCATTAACTGTAGAGCACAACACAATTTTATATGTGTATAAGTGAGAACACTCAAAAGAACAGCTTTCATTACTTTCTCTCACTATTTTTCTAAAGAAAATAAATACAATCTGCTGATTAGATTCCGGATTACATTCTTTCCTACATCTTGACAGAAAAAAAAGCATCTGCAGGAAGATCCAAGAGACAGTCAAGGCACTGGGAAGGAAAAAAAAAACAGTAGAAATGAATATAAAAAATGATTAGTTAATGAATATTTATGAACTGATTAGTAAGACAATCAGTATCTGTTAATAGTAACTAAAACATGTGTAAAGTTCCATAACCTGTCTAAAATATTCAAGATAGTAATTTATATTTCTAGTTTTTATTCCATTTATCACTATGCCCTAATATTCATAAAATAGAACAATAATCTCTACATTAGAAGGGGGCCTTAATAGAAGTCTACAGCTAAATTTTATTTTTCCTAAAATTAACTGCTTTCACATTTAATCTTAAGGAGAAAGAGGATAAGTATGTGCCTTTCAAAAAACATTAGTTGAGTGCCTACTATTTGCCAGGCACCATGCTAAGCATGGAGAATGCAAAGGTATACTGATGGCCCTGTCCTGGTCACTCACTGTGAACAGAGGAATTTCTGTACCACAGTTTCTGAAAGAGACAAGGAAAGGGCACTACAGGAAGAGAGGACAAGGGACCTGGGGATGCCTGAGCATGTCAGGTACAGTTTCACAAAGAGATGTTTGAGTTGGATCTTCATATCATGCTTGTGAAACACTTTGTTAGGAGCAGGGCAAGTGGAGGCAAAGAGAAGGAAAAGGAGCCACAGGCATCATGGGTCCTACCATAAATGAGGTCGTGGTAGGTGTTGTTTTTTAGCCTGACAAAATTTTGTGATCTTTATATATTTCTGACAGATAAATTTTGTTCTCTAAAATGTTGGAAGCCTGACTTTCATCTTACCCTCTCTGCAAGAGCTAATGTTTCTGTACCATACTGTACGGTTTTAAATGTCTGATCTCATTCAAGAGATTCAGTGCACAACAACTTGGCCAGGTAGGTCACATTATCTCCATGTAATGGATGAGGAAACAAGCTCAGGGTGGGTAGGAATCTATCCCAGATCTGTCTGACTCCAAAGCCCATGCTCTTTCCCATGCTGCTTCCAAAGAAAGATTTTCCATCTGTGAATTGAACTACGGCCTCAGCAGAAAAGGCATGAATAACAGCACATCTTGTGAATACGCACCTTGTGCCAGACACCATTATAAGCATTTACATGTTTTAATTTGTATATTCTTCACAGCCTCTTTGTAGGAGAGGTACGCTTATTAACTGCTAACAGATACAGCTGAAGCCCAAAGAAGTCAGAGAACTCTCTCAAAGTCACAGAGCTGGTAATTGGCAGGGCCAGGACTCAGATCCAGGCAGTCTGGCTCTAGTGCCCTGAACTTATGTACCCTATGCCCTGTCATTTAATTCAGACCAAATCCTAACTCTGGGTCACCAGCAAAGACACTGCTGAGAAACTTAGCTCAGGCAGAAGGCACAAATGGGGAAGAAATGTTAGGTCCCCAAATAAGAGTAAGACAAATCTCATGTTGCTTAAGAATCAGGAATTGATTGATTGATGAGGGTAGGGGAGGACTATAGGGGAGGACAAGACAGTGACAGAAGAGAAAAAAAAAAGTCTTTTTCCTTTACACTATGCAAATAAAATATTCCTAATTTGCATTTTCTGTTATTCTTAAACAGGAAATATCAGTGCAAGGAAAGCATTTCAAATATATATTAAAGCAGAGATACTCAATAGCACACACTGTGTGTACAAACAGACCGATGACTCACTTACATAGATTTCCCCACATATTTGTCATTTAAGTCTCTATAAATTAGCCACTTCATCATACCTTGCATATTTTGATGCACACAAGACTTGTTCTGAAAAGAAATCTAATTTCACCATTCTTTAGATTTTTACGATACTTCTACACATTTGCAAGTTCAAATATTTAT